TTAATTTCGACATATATATTACATGATCATATTCCTGAGCTCACTTTGCCACTTCCGTATAAACTACTACACTCAAACCACACTCAGCCTCAGACTTAGCCTTCACTGTGATCTCAACTACACCCCTGTAAAGTTTCATTATTGCATTTTGTGCAGTTGTGGCGCTCTCACAGTGAAACAATCTGTCCACAGACAAACATATAAACACCTGGTAAAGCAGTTAAACCACTTCCACGGTAGTTCCCACTACACACTTTGCCATGATGACACACACTGAGACATACAAGGTGGCAACAGTACTAAAAAAACAGCCAGAAGCTGCATTATTATTTGTGTTTGTTTGTTTTTCTTACCTGTCTCCTCCTCCTCTCCTCCCTCACTGATCCTATGGTGTGTCCCCTGTGCTCAGCTGCAGCACACATTGCACATATGATCTGTTCGTCAGTGCAGCAGTAGATATCCAGAGGGCTGCTGTGCTTCACACACACACCGCTTCCTGCTGATGTCTCTGTACAGCTCCGGGGTCTTTTAGATGGCCCTGATTGTCTCCTCTCCTCTGTGCTGCCATCATCACACCTCTCTGTGTCCCTCACCAAGTCAGCTAGAGTCGTGTTCCTGATCAGCTGAGGTCTGGAAGGAAACTTCTTACCACATTCAGGACAGCTGTAGTGACGGTCCCTCCTCTCGTCTCGGTCCCAGTGGCCCTGGATGCACTGCATGCAGAAGTTGTGTCCGCAGGGAACAGTTGCAGGATTCCTGAGGACCTCGGAGCAGATCCGACAGCAGAGGCGGTTCATCTTGACAGGGATCCGAGGCTCTGCCATGTCTGAGAGGAGAAAGGCAGGCTGACACAAGTTTAGTTTCACTTCCCGCTCAAGTGCTTCAGTAGTCATGGGTGTGACTCAAACATTTGGACTGATTTCAGAAGGGAGGGGCAAAGAATGGGCAACAATGGTGGTGTAGTAGTGTTTTCAGTGTAATCTGAGCAGTGGTTGTACCCTGCCATCAGGGAGGTGGTGGAAGGTCATTTTCTGTTGATATACTTTTAAACAGATGCAGTTTGTTTGGGGTAAAAAAGTTGGGAAGTTATGCACATTTTTACTCAGGTAGGGTCGGATTATGAGACAGTGGGCTGTAGGGCACAAATATACAAAGGGCCCCACCACCTCTCCAACACAGGAGCAAGATGTACAGACTTTGTGGTAGCTTGCATCTCTTGGTGGTCATTTTGTGTCTCCTTGTGGTTGTTCTTTGGAGGTAATTGTGTTCTTTTTGGTTGTATGTTGTGTCTCTTTGTGTGTTTTTTAGTCATTTGGTTCCCTTTGAGACAATATTAGGTCTAAAGGAGGAAGATTTTCAGTCTTTTATGGTCATTAATGTCTCTTTGCAGTTATTATGTCTCTCTTAAGTCCCCATTTCCACTGAACATTTTCGGTATAGTAACTTTTGGAACCAAAAGTAACACTTTAGACATGGTACCTAGACCCAGGTCTGCTTAGTGTTTCTACCACAAACAGTTCTTTCATGTGGGCAGGGTTGTTATCACTAACTGCACCGTCCCACTCTCGCTGTACTTCCTCCTTTATCAGTCTGCACCTCATTTATTATCCACAGAACAAGGTTGCATGCCAAAATATTCTGAACAAAAAAGAACAGGCTGCAGTTAGAGTCTCTCTCCATGGGATATTTTTTAGTCCTTCTAAGGTAAGCTCAGGGGTTTAGTGTTGCCGGAGACCCCAGGAACGATGCTCCACGACACTAATGCTGCATTCTATTGGTAGCCGGAACCGGGATTGATGCGATTTCTGGTCCGGAAAGGTACAAAAGAACACCCGTTCTACCCGGAGGTCTCGTCATCAAACTCGGGCAAGGTCCAGGTAGACCGAGTCGGTAGAATTGATGTCACAATAAAGATGGCTGCGCACATTGTGAATGGTATACAAAGTTATTTGTCCTCAATTTGTCCTCGTATATGCTGTTTAATTAAGCGTTTGTGTTGTAAAAATCATACAAGTACTTTGCAATGGCATTTCTATTTCCACTGTTGATTTGTGTTGGAAAAAAGTCTGTGCAAGCCCGTTGTAGCCTAAAGTCGTTTGAACCAGCAAAGTCTCCGTTGCTCAGCAACCATGCAAAAAAAAACAAACTTACGGCGCGCTGCCATGTTTTCCAGACTGTTGCAATGAAACGCTTTCAGATCAGACGTGTCATACGGTCATATAAATCCGACAAGGAATGACCGACCTGGATTGCCAAACTAATGCGGCATAACACTACCCTGTTCAGTAATCCACCCATGCTCGCTTGTAGATCTGAGCATCAATTTACAGAATATTAAACTCTATATATTGTGAGGGAGATAATGTTACTGCACATTTAGCTGTCAACCCAACTTTGACATGTCCCTGAGAAACATGGTCTGTATTTCTGATGTTTGCATCACATTTTCAGATGGCTACCTGTTGAGGGAGCAGCACAGAATGCACCCAATAGGATTATGGACAGATGACAAATTTTCCAAAATGGGCCCCTTGTCCACTGAGGCATTTTGACTCGGCAGCTTTATTTCCCAGAGTCAAAACTAAACATGGTGGAGCTGCTTTTAGCTTCTGTGCTGCTTTAACATGAACAGTTGCCTTAAGATCTGATTGAGACATTACTCACCACAGTCAAGTCCAAGCTAAAGACCTACATGTTTATTGCCTTTCTTTCATTTTCTTTAACATCAAATTTATGCGTCAGGCTGCAGTTCACTTTACATTTTTACATCAGCGGCACGTTTGTTCTGCACTTCTGACACCTGCTCTTATTTTGAAAATTTTCACCATGACTGTGGCAGGTTGGGTATCAGATAAGTTAAAATGTGTTTTAATACCAACATATATATCATGTAAAGTCATATAACTTGTATAGTCAGTGATGTAAGTTAATTTGTTGCTGTTCTTGATCCCATTTTAGGGTTAGGGTCTTAAGGAAGTCAGGCAGTTGTAGTGTGCAGTGGGCTTGCCTGTGGATGTGAGGAATGACAGCGTGCCACAGTCATGCACCACTGCTACAGCCACAATTTAAAAAACTGGCTCAGCTTAGTGACCACAAACATAAACTGAACGCCATCCTCGAGGATGAGTTTCAGCTACATGACTTTTGTGGGCCATAGGGAGCCCCCACCATCACCACCACACAAATAAACAGCAAACACAAAACAAGAAGCCTGAGAAACACACCAAGATGATCAGAAGGCCGTTTTGTCTTGGCGAGGAGAGAGAGACTTTCCCTTCATCAGTCTCTCTATGTAAGATTGAGGCACGTTTAGTGGCAGCCAGCTATGAGGACTGCAGATTGCAACCAGCTGAAGCTTTTGCTTGAAGCTTTTTTTCCTTGGATGATTCAAGGTCCAGATTTTCAGGATGTGGAGGTCTCTTCCTCTCCATATTCAGTTTCTGCCAATTTAACCCCTAAGTTCCACACACTGGAGTATATAAAGCGCAGCTCCACCCACTAATCATCTCCTCTAACCAGGCACACCTGAGAGAAATAGGAAGACAGGAAGAAGAAAGGAACTAACACCTACACCAAACAGCTCGGTTTTTTCCTCATACTTACATGCTTCCTTTAGCTCTGATATCTGTGCTGAATAATTAGCTGGAAGTGACTCTGCTCTCATTATCTCATGCTGTGTAATTACTGCAAATCCTGCTTGTATTTGACCAACATCTGGGTCGCATGAGGCTGAGCCATCTACAAACAGTTCCATGTCTGCTTTCAGCAATGGACTGTGAAGGTCTGACCTGGAAGAGCAAACTTTAGTGTGGTTTACCTTCCTCGGCTGCTGAGAGACACTGGGTTTGATACAGCATTTTTTGCTGTTCAGGATCTGCACTACAACAAGCTATGGTCACACAGCAATCTGTGACGTTCATGTTGATCACAGGCACGAGACTAATTTTAAAAGACTAGAAATCCTCCACAATTTTAATTGATACCTCTATCTATCAAATAAAAGCACCAATACCAAAAGAATAATCTTTAAACTAGAATTACCGCCTTGTGTTTGCATGCCTCTGCGAACCTGTCAAGTTGCAGTTGAAGTTTACATCCATCATGTATCCATGACAGCTGACAATGCTTCAAATATGGATGTTTCTGCAAATGAGCTACAACTTCTAAAACCTAAATGCTTCACACATCTTCCCCCAGACAGCACAAGTCTTTATCATCAGCAATTTCAAGATGGACACCCAAGATTAGTGTCACCAAATCTGATGAAATGTCTTCCCTTTTGCTCCTGAGATATGACGTTTATTCACTAGCAAGGACCATGTCACAATAATATGTCATTTAAATATTTAATTTTAATTCAGCAGGTGTTAGTTGTTGAGAACTGGTGAAAAGGAGGATGTACTGGAGATCAGGCAGAGGGAGACTCAGTGTGGGAGTTCTGTCTCAGGCATTTTTCCCCCCGAGCTGATTACAGGCCCCTGAGACGGTATCTACAATGAGACGTGGGAGAGGTATGCGCTAGACTGAATAAGAAGAGATGAGGGGAGAGGGGAAGAGAGGATGAAGGAATGTTGGTAGTGATGAGGTAGGGAGGATGATGGATGAAGGGAAGGGAAAAAGGGAAAGGGAGGGTGGGTCCAGAAATTTGAGGGACAGAGCAGGATGGGTAGACCTGGTATAAGTAGGCTAGGCAGTTGAAGCGTGATTGAAGTCAGCAAATTAGCTTCATATAATGGCAAGAAGAGTTTTTTCACAGTACATTATGATCTCGCAGTGAAGTTAACCTTTCATCTTTTGGATTTCAAATGTCATCACTTCATCGTTTCATCTTATCTGAGTATTGTGTAACATTTTTCTCATAAATAGCATGAGTTCTTGAGTTATGGCCAAAAATGTGTTTTGTGAGGTCACAGTGACCTTTGACCACCTAAATCTAATCTGTTAATTGAAATGTCCAATGCCATTGCAGAGGCATTAAAATAAACTCCACATGAATGACAGTATAATTTTATTACAGTATTTAAGTCCATGTAAAACAAAAACAAAGCCATGATAAATAAGTTTCACAATTTACATGTATTTCATTTCCTTAAGCTTTATAACAAAACAAAAGAACAAAAAAAGTTGAAAGGTAGAAAAAGACAAAAGAAAATGGTTCTGTAACCGCTCAGCTCAGAAACCACTCATCTCACACCAGAAACGTATGTGTTTCTCTTCTCTCTCACACAATCAAATAATAACATGTGCAACCATTTCCACACAGCAAATCAACAAATTAAGATATTAATGGGTTACTTGAGGTTTAAAAACAAAGTCAAGGCTGTATCATCATGTCCATTCAGCCTGGTGGTCAGAGAAGGTTGCGTTCATGGTCCCAGAGTAAAAGTGTGTCGGCAGCACTCAGGTGAGAAACTCAGAATAATGCAAATACAATTCAAATCATCAGCTGAACAACAGAGGGTAAGTCAGGTGAACAGAGGATTGTGCCCTTCAGGGAATAACTATTAAAAAGTAAAACAGGTTTTTATTTGTACATAGAGAAATTAAGACAAAAAAACCCCGACCCCGCGCCTGTCATCTCTGTGAGGAGGAGAAACTGATGAGATGTACCTGGGAATGTGATATTTATTAACATCTTAAATGTGATGCCTCAACAAAGCACACGCCTGTTAGTCTTAACAGTTAAAACATTAAAATTTAATCCCGATAAATCTCTTTAAAATGAAGAAAACTGTCATGTAGTGCTTCAAGGTCAAACGTTCTGTAGCAGGCAGGAGGCACACAGAGCAGTAAGGTAAGGTGGGGGTCGGGTTTACGTCCACATGTGACGCTCTGACTTCATCATCAGCTGGTTCATTAAAAGTGTGGGGAAAAGTCTCAACAGTTCATCATGTAAAGCAAACTGTAAAACGTGTTGATTGGAAGTCTCCACCTGGGCGACTTCAGAGAGTGAAATCCATCCGTCACCTTCAGTCTGTACAGAACATGTAACATAATGCTGAGAGCACTGTTGGTGGTTTGTCTGAACTCCTGCTTCAAACGGTTTTAGAAAAACATGAGGATGTTGCCGGTCGTTGATTCTCACTGTAGCAGCTCTTCCCAGGAAATAGGTTTGGAGAAGACCTCCCGCTCCAGCCAGAGGTCGTAGTTCATTTGGAAGTCCTCGGGCAGGTCCACCCGCTGTCCCAGGACACTTTGCAGACAGTTGTCCACAGGCAGGAAGTCCGGGTTGCTGTGGGTCTTGTCGTAGCGGCGGCTGTTGAAGCGTTCAATGTTGGCCCGCAGAGCACACTCCTCGGCCTGGAAGTCCCAGGGACGGGCGTCCAGATCTGCTCCAGGAGAACAGACAGCATGTCAGGTTTAGTCTGCTCTGAGTGGAAATACAACTCTGCGGGTGCTACAGCAGCTCTGATCTTGATTTGGGCCGCAACTAACAATTATTTTCATTACCAATTAATCTGATGTGTATCTGTGCAATTGTGTGGTCTATAAAATATTAAGAAATAGTTTTAAAAAAACACATAATAATTTCCTAAATCCAGGCTGAAATATTCAAACAGCTTGTTTTGTCTTACCCTGTCTTAATTTCACTTCCAAAAACTATGACTAAATATATTCAACAACAATTTTTTTACCCCCATGACAAAGATGACAATGACAAGATGGCACCAACATCATCAAACATTAACTGTGACTGTACCAAAATGCAATATTGTTGATGAAAAAAGACTCAGACTAAGATGTGGTTTCTTTCAATGCAGCAGTTTCACTTCCTGCGCTGCATTTTCCATGTCTGTACTACACCAGCAGCACACAATGCACACAGTCAGGAGGACTCACAGTAATTTATTCAAGTTAGAGTTAACAGTGACAACAGCAGGGCTGTCTGGATGTATTTCTTAAATTGATACCATCAGATCACAAGAACAGACACTCTCTGCAAAGCTGCATTCTTTATCATCCAACCTGTGTTTTTCATCAGATAATGAGGAGATAAAATCTTATGTCAAATAAGTTTCACAAAAATGACAAACATTATTAGTTTGGCCAGACTGACTGAAATGTCCACATAATCTGATGACTGAAAAAGACTAAAATGTCAACAGTTTTCATGTCATTGTGGTTAACTGTGACCTGTTTTTGACCAAATTAGTGCATGGGTGTGGAAGCCGCGAAAAATATGCTATAGAGTCCTTTCACATTGCAAGGATGCCTTTCACTCGGGGTGTTGGTTATTTTGGTGTGTCATGTTCATTGCCACAGACAGGCTGGAAAACACGTTGGTAAACAGTGTACAGCAAAACTTAATGGTGGTTACTTCTTTTTACATTTCTTATACTTATTTAGTGTCTCTTTCAAACTCTGTGCTGGCTAATTTGAAACCATTGAGCGCTCTTTCAGTGGAGTTGGGCGGTATTTTGTGGTGACGTGTCATTGCAGGTCGCCGGTAAAGGGGCAAAAATAGCTCATTCACTATAGTCATTTGACCCAAGTGTGAATGCTGACTGTAGCCTTTCCCATTGCATTAATAAAGCCAGATGTTAGTGGGTGTTAGTGGGTTTTTTGTGCAGTGGAAAAGGGACTTCTGACTAAGATAAGACTAAATTGCCCAGTCAACCAAAACTAAAAAAAAAAAAAACAAAACAATATGATAAAAAAACTAAGATAAAACCCAGTACTGACTGAGACTAAATAAAAGATAACTTACAAAATTAACACTAATGTCATCAAAAGTTATTTTTAGAGCCTAAACAATGATTTAATCATCAGAATCATTCTTGATTAATTCTCTGGCAGGCAACTTATTGATTAACCTACTAATTATGTCAGCTCTAATTAGGACAAAATAAACTTCACTGCAAACAACTGGAAACTGACTGCAAATCAATAATATACAAACACTACAATGCAATAAAAATAACAGCTTAAAGTAGTTAAGCTTTTTGACTATACTTCCTTCTCCTACTGAACTTATCCACACTGTCTATTCCTTTATGTTCCCACTCACCGTTCCCGTAGGCCCAGTCGTCATTGAGCCGATGTCGGACCTTCTGATAGATGGCAGACATGGTCTTCATGTTGCTCTTCCTCCACTGGCGCCCCAGGTATTTGGTCTGCACTTTGAGCAGCTTGAGGACATAGAGCTGCATCATGGCCTGCTTGACCTTCAGCGCCCTCTTCAGGATGGGAGCAGACTTGAACACCACCAGCATCTAGGAGGAAAAGATCAGCATTCATTTGTCGAAACATGACACAACCCGTCATGATAAATGCTACTTGACAATTTCTCTCACCATTGTTCTGGAGTGCTTCCACTTGGTCAGTTTGTTGAGGATCCTCAGCAGGTTAATACAAGAGAACAGATTCCTCCAGCAGAACTGATTGTTGTCTCCTGCTTCCTGTAAAAAGACAAAACATCCACATTAAAAATGACTTCAGCTGTCAGAGAAACACTCTTCCACTTAACAGTTAACAGTGATAAAGCAACTCACCAAACTCTCTGCAGTTAACTCTGGCAGCTCATGCACCACACAATAAGGAAAGTCAAGTACTGAAATGCTGTCAGACAAAGAAAATTGAGCGCAATGAGACAAAGGCAATTCAAGTACACTTCACTGACATTTACTGCAAATGAGAGTCACGATTTTTGTTGTTTACAGAGGCTCTGAAAGTACCTGTTTTTAGCTGTGATGTAAGACATGATGTTCTGGTTGAAGAACTTCAGGATGAGGGGGATGCAGTTGGCAAACACCAGGTGTTGGGCCATGTACTCAAACTGTCAGAGATTCAAAGATACTGTCAGTTAATAAGGATATTTAACTGTTTCCTTACACCACAGTGAAATAAACAAGAATGAGATCAATGGTTGCTTTACTCTTTTCAACTATTTATGGAAATATGTGATACAGTTAGATGTCATTCTGGTGACGTAGAAGTGTGTGACGTGCGTACCTGGTAGATGTGGTTAAGTTTGAAGTGTTTCAGGAGCAGCAGCAGAATAGCAGAGATGGCCTTCACAATGATCTCTTTGTGTCGATTCACATCAACACCAAGTTTCATGCTTTGCAGCACTGTGGTCCTGCAGAGTCACACACAACACATCAATCACTGATTTATGTTTACCTATCATCCCCACAGCAAACTCTACAAACTCAGATGTCAATACCCTTGGTTATACAATCTATTCTTTGATGTGGTTACATGCCCAGACTGAGAAAATGACCTGATAGAGTCACTCTTGTTGCCATTTCTTAAAGGAGGGAAGGAAAAACATTTCCAGCTAAAACAAAACAGAACAACCAGAGCTCTTTGTATACAATCAAACACAACACAACACGAGTAACACTATCTGTGTATCTCCATTCAAAAGTAAAGCAGCACCAGTGATTCCTTCCCACTTCAGACATACATCTAAACATAAAACTGTTGGATATTGCCGTGTTCAGAACATAACGTCTCCCTGGAGAAAGAACTGGCAAAGCTGTTAAAACCCTTTTAGAAACACTGCGACACTTACGGCATCTCCTCTGGCAGCACGTCTGCCAGGATGTTGATGGAGTCCGTCTTGGCTTTGGAAGTCGGAGCTGCTGCGAGCAGAATCTTCAGTAGAGCGATCTGAAATTCAGAGACACACACACACACACAACAAAGTCAGTTACAGCAGTGTTTTCCCTACCATTATATCGGGGGGAGCAGCCTGACCAACAAGGAATCATTGATTTCATGCTATTGCTTTTAAAAGGCCTAATATAGATATATACTGTATATACAGATATTGAGAAGTAACTGACATTTAGGGCTGAAATAATGTCCCTTAATCATGTATAGTTCAAGTATTGTGTTTCTGAATGTTGCTGTGGTGCTTTCTAATAACAATGTTGTTTAGTCTGACCTGCAGGTCTATGGCTGTTTCTGACAGGCTAAATTAGATAAACAAAGATGGTTCATATTTGTGCTTTAAAAAAGCAGCACCTATTTACACAGATAAAGTAATGATATTTATATTGTCTTATTGCCTTAATGCTGCAACATAACAGCATTCAAGTTATGTCATTCATATCGCTTCTATGAAAATTTCATTTCCTGTGTGACTTATTCCTGTACAATGGTCAGCAGACGTCACTTACCTTTCAGGCTATTTTCTACGTGTTAATTTGCCTAAATACAAGGAAGTGAAACACACTGAGATGTGCTATAACCCAGTCATTTCCACAGTGTATACCTGATCCCAAACAGCACTCACCATGTATTGAGGCAAACTGGGCAGAATTCCCTGATAGAGCAGCTCAGTGGCGGACATTTCCACCTCCTCTTCACCCTGATGATGAGACAGGAGACAACAAAAGACACAAAACACAAAAAAACAACATCACTATGACACCTCGACAGTTTGGTCTTGCAGACACAGGGCCTTAAAACCTCTGCTATCAATTTCCAAAAGAAAGAGCAAGGATTTAACCTCTGTCGTTGTAGTTTTCTTAACCTGTTCAGTCTTCTTCATCTTTAATTAAATAACCACAAATTTTTCTTCAAATTTGCACATTAGCATAATAAAGATCTGAAAATAGGAAGGGTGTGCTAAATACTACAGTGCCAAGATGTTAGAGGGCAAGAGTAGGGTGCACTTTTTAGTTCAAAACTTAGCACTACTTGTGAGATATATAACAATTTATGTTCTTTTGTTTATTGGGCAGGTTGAGCCTGTGAGGAGTAAACAAATTAAGATGTCTCTACAGGGACGACATCTTTAGATATAATAATAAACCTGTTTAGGTCATTCAGTTATATACTGTAAGTGAATAATTAACATGAATGGTTTTTGTTTGAACTTACCCCAGACAGAGGGGTTTTCTGAAACTCCTCTTCCTTTGCAATCTGTATCTCAGCGATGGAGACGTACTTATGCTGGAAAACAAAAGATGAAAAGTTGATATGTGAAGACTGAGCAACAATTCCCATTTAGTTATCTTGGTAAAAAAAAGCAGACTGAATGAAATAAAGGGAGTGGTAATAAAATACCTGCTTTAACGTCCTTATGCTCTCATGAATCGGCCTGGGCAAACCAACAACTGTATCTGTATCACTGCAGGAAGTACACAACAATAACCTCAGTCAGCACAAGTCAGTGTATTAAATTTTAGTCTCAAGTTACTTTTTGTTTAAAGCCAATGAGGAGGAAACTTACCTTCCGAGGGTGTAACCAATAAATTTACTTCTACTTGACTCCAGGAAATTTTCAATGTCTTTTTCCCTGTTGGAGCAGAAACAATCATGTCAAAACAAAACCTCTGATAATATTCATGAGGAAGGAATCAATGATTTTGCTTTTCCAAAATCTAAAACATTAATTATTGTTATCCAGGTAGGCTGAGCAGTACCTGACTTTAGGAGCCCACGGCAGTCCTCTGGGGAAGGACACCCTCTCTGTTGGAGGATGAGGAATAGGTGGAGGCATCACCTCGTCCCTCTCTAGAGGGAAAGTCTCTGGCTCTATATTGTTGTCATTGTCGTCGTTGTCGTCCTCATCCTCACGAGAGTCATCGGCCTTGTAAGGATCCTTTTCGTTGAATGCGTCGAGGTTGTCCTGTTTGATCAGGGCCTGTGTGAGAACCAAGGAAACAGTGAAGACGTTGACATACTGTGAGTGGTGAGGAGGGTGGAGGGGCAACAGGTGGACAGCATAATACCACGCTGCATCTAGGACTCCATGAAAACAGTGAGATAAGGAAAAGGGGGAGCTGTGTGCAGAAAAGTGAGAGACTTATACATGCTCAAACAAAGGGAACTAAATGTGCAGACAGTGATTCTAATCCACTTAACTTTTTGTTAAATTCAGCGAATATCTCCTCATGGTCCACTAGCTGTCTGTTTTGTGTGTGTGCTGAAAAAACATCAGATCATATCCAACCCTGGCTCTGTAAATGGTAAACAAACAAAGTGGCCAGGACTGAGCCACACAACACTATCACAGCCAATCAGCAACAGGAGACATTTGTGCTTGTCCACAGGACAGGGGAAGAGCCATGGATGTATAAAGAAAAAGGCAGTGGGAGCAAGAGGAATGGTAAATCTGGCGCATGCAAACATGTTTGGGTGTTGAGTTCATAAATCAACAACAAAGCTTGGAGTGGCAGCATGAAGGCGTGTTGCCTAAATAAAGCAATTAGACAAGTCATCCCCATGAAAAAACATTATCAGTTAGATGTGCATGATGTACAGATAAATGTGATCACTATTTTCTCTGAAAAATGTAGCAGTGGCTTAATAAAAAATATAACACTATTTAAATTCTGTTTTACATGAGTGAAAGTGGTTTGTATAACTATTCATATTAATGTAGTACACACTCCATACGATGGAGTGTACTGCAGCCAAATACCAACTGAAGATGCCATCTTTGTGTCATGTTGCTACTGTGATATACGTTTGTGACCAACGTAATGTAAATTTTATAAAACACAAGACTTGAGAAGTCTTTACTTTAACAGATGTACCTAAAAACTGATAGAGTTCAACTAAGGTGTATACATGTCCAAAATCCCCTAAAATACTGTGACTAAAGATTGACTGTGATTGTATTAAGGTTTCTATTTCCATGTCATTAAATCAGTATTATCTTAATGGTCTCCATCCATCCATTAATATTTATCCGCTTATATAAACCCATTTCCGCCACTTGTATCTGCGATCTCATTCTTTCAGTCACTACCCAGAGCTCATGACCACAGGTGAGGGTTGGGATGTAGATGGACCAGTAAATTGAAAGCTTCGCCTTCTGGCTCAGCTCCCTCTTCACCACGACAGTCCAGCACAGCGCTCGCATCACTGCAGATGCCACGCCAAACCGCTGCTCCATCTCACACTCCATTCTACCCTCACTCGTGAACAAGACCCCGAGATAATCTCTCTCCCAGCAAATAAAATAATAAAAATATATTGTATTAATATGTCATCATTGAGCATCGCAGGCTGACAGGGGTACATGTTTCACCTATAGCTAGATTTAACCTACAATATGTTTGGTTTGAAAGCAGGGAGCAGCAGTAATGTCTACCTTGTGTTCGCGGCGTGCCCGTTTTTGCTGCTGCTCTATGAGATCGGATGCAGATGCAGGTGGAGAAGCGGCCCTCATACTGCGAATGACTCGAATGCTGTCCTCCGGGAGAGGAGGAAGACCCAGCTCTTCACGCTTATGAACCTTTATGGTTTGGAGCTGCTCAAACCCTCCGAGTGTGAACTGAAACAGAAGAGAGGATTTCAATTTGATTCTTAACTTCAGATGGTTTTGTTGTGAGATCATGTGGGTGCTTTTAATGTGTCTCACCAGTATGCTCTTCCACAACAGCAACAACACCTTCTTCATTGGGAAGTGAGGGGCATGGCCACTGCAGAACTTGGTAACCATCCCGAAGAGCATGACGGAAATGGGCTCGTTGTTGAACAGAGGAGATCCTGGATTAGAGAGGTGGAGCAGAAATAGTTTAACTAGCAAGTTTTGTTTATATCCGTGATGTGACTGCAGCTTTTGACACTGATGAAACTTACCGAGTTCTGCCCTGAAGGTTTCCCTGATGATTTTCCACTCAGGCTTGTCCGCTGGGTCGTCCTGTTGTATCGTTTCCACCATCAGGTACATTATGTTAAGCAGCACTCTGAGATCTGTGCTGTCAGCAAGGGAGATGGCTGGTTTCCTAACAGCACTACTGCAGGCAGCGCTGTTACTGGAAGAGAGAATATAAACGCTTTACACCCATCTCTAAACAGATCATTTTACAACAGAGAATGAATTAACTTGTAGCTCTGCAGAGCCAACCCACACGTTTTTTGTTTTGCTCGCTGTGATATGGCAAGGTTGAAGCCGATTTTCTATCTGAATGCATTTTTGGTGATTATATCAGCTTTTTTGTCAGTCTGTGAAACCAAATATAGCTCTGAAATCATTTAATAATATCACATCTTGTGGCAAAAATCAGACAAGTGATTTAGGCTGGGTAGAAAACTGATGGAGAACATACTCAATTTCCATGTTGAGCAGCTCCACCAGAGCAGAGAAGGTCCCCACATCCAGCAGCAGAAAGATGTTGTATCTCATCCAGTACTGCACCTCAGCCTCAGAGCTGCACTCTGCAAAGGTTCCTAGAGAGAAACAAAATTCCCCACTGTGAAATATACAGATAAAACCAAAAATACCCTCCTCAATCAATTCCTCTCAAGGCAAGATCTCATTCTCTACAAAATTAATTCATGCTAAACCAGTTTTCAGTGATGTGGACTGACCCTGAGCCATGTAAAGAATAGCTCTGGCGACCTTCAGCCTCTTCTCCCGCGCAATCACTTCCAGACCGTCCAACAATCGCATGGCGTGAGCTCTGTGTTGAGCTGCATCAAGCTCCGTCCACTTCTTATCAGACACTAGGTCAGAGGAGGTGGACATGATTAACTTGTAAGAAATGGTTTGCTATGACTTAATAATGACTTGATTGAGTGTATGCATGTTGAACTACATACCATGTGTTCTGAATTCCACCTCAAAGCACTTCCTATTGAGAGCAAACTCTGGTCCTTCAGTATAACTGTACAGCTCTGAAACACACATAATGATAATGAATGATAATGTATATTGAAGAAAACAAAAAGGACTCCGTAAATCTGAATGTCCATGATGACCACACAAACCTGACAGCTCTGCAGCCCACTTGTCTGTATCAGCATATTCAAATTCAAGGTCTGGAGACTCAGACAGCCCCTGCACACAACACATGACAATTTATGCATTTATGATTAAAGAAATTATTTATTTAGAGTCATAATCCAACAGACTATAAACTGCATTGATTTGACAGATAGCTTCCATGTATATATATATGAACCATTATACCATAATAGGGCTGGGCAATATGATGGTTTTATATTGTTTTTGAGATATGAGACTATATATCATCTTAGATTCTGGATTTGATTTTATCGTGATATGGCATAAATGGTGTTTTTTCCCTTGTTTTGAAGACTGAATTATAGTAAATTGATGCTCGGATCGGGTATCGGCACCGATCACTTTATTTCTACAAAGTTGGAATTGGTAATAAAAGATCGGAGGAATCAAATCAACAAAAATGGCCAGGTTTTTCATCTATGTTGTTCATTGTTGCCTCCGCTTTCCAGTGTATTGTAACCGAGTGTCCTGGGTTCGCCTAACTGAGTGCAGCTAATGAGCAATAAACGGACAGGAGTCGAGACAACAGGTTCAGCGGCCAACGCTTCTCTCTTTATTCCGAGCAACACAGCCACACCTAACGGCGGAACCTCGCCTACCACAGCCCTACAGCAACTCTGGAGGGACAATGTGTTTACAATTCAAAATGTGTTTACATTTTGTGCTGGTGAACCACCAATAAGCTTTTTGGATACTATTTAAATAAAAAACAAACCTTATGGAACAACATGGATGCATTCTTTTTTTTCTTTCTTAATGCTTTGCAAACTATTGGATCGGACTCGGTGTTGGACTCTGTTTCAAAGTAAAGGACTTGGTATTGGATTGGATGTTAAAAAAAAAAAGTGATCAGGACATCCCTATCTATTATCAATGAAATGTTTTTGAGGAGATTATAAAATGTCGTGTGATATTGTGATTTGAGATATAGTCTAAAAATTTCGAGATATTATTTTCATGACATATCACCCAGCCCTATACTATAAATATATAACCATTACACATTATAATGCAAAGTTATGGGCTACATTATCCATTATCCAACACAATATATAGCACATAAACACAAATCCACCCGGATCAGCTACACCATTGAAAACCTGCTTATGGATATTTGAATGTTTCAATAATAGTAATCCAAAAACTATAAAAGATAATACACAATGAAAGGGAAATTACATTTTGATGCAAAACTTTACCTTATTATAAAGTGTATATTACATTTCTATATTTGTGCTTCAACTTAACAAAGGGGCTTCTTCTTACAACACTGTAATAAGGTATCTTAGTAACAAGAACAGACTGCTAATCGTGCATCACATTAATGCAATCTGAATCACGTTTACAATGGTTTTAGCTGTACTTCTAATGTCTTCTGCCTGTGTGTTGTTATCGGATTGTTCAAATGATTAAAAGAGGTCAAAGCATAAATTCTGTAGGTGATTTTCTTGCATAGAATACATCAGAAACCTCCCACTGTCATACTGACAGCACTGATTCACTTTGCCTTGTTTATAGATATATATGCTCCATCGTAAACATATTAGTATGTAATAAAACACATTAACACACATGGCAAAGAGATAACGTTACATTATTAGAAAGACTCGTGTTGGGAGATTCAGTTTTCAACAGGTCGCCGCTGAAGTCCTGACAGACAGTTCAGTCTGGCCTGTGACGAGCTAACATCAGCTAGCTAGCGCCGGCTAAGCTACACTGCTTCTCAGAATTACGTAAGTTAACACTGGACTAGAAAGAAAACACTGTACAATTACAGGTACTTTATACCAACACTTTGAAGAACCTAAGTTGCTGTTGTTAATTGGTGTCGCCGTGTCATGTCACATAATAATAAGCTAGCCTGACAGAGCTAGCTAACGATATGTGTTACAGTAGCAGCAGAAGAGGCCTCGTCTGTTTATGATCAGTTAGCTTAAATTTAAATACAAACTTCTGTTCACGTACCTCTGAGTCTTTTCTTGGGTTGCGGGTAAATTCGCCCCTGGTTTTGTTAGGTAGCATAGCTCTCTGTTTATTGTTTACAGGAAGCCCAGCACCATTCCCACCGACGTCCATAATTTCTTGGGCGCAGTGTCCTCTCGCGAGATGAGAGTTGATACGCGAGACTGTATAGCATCTACTGCTTAAAAGGGGGAAACGTGATCTATGCCCTCTATTTTATCCATTATTTAGTTATTGTGGTATTTTTTTTACCCACATGTATGTTGGTATTTTTCAGTTTATGTTTCTGTACCACAAATCAATTGCCAAATAGTGAATCTGAGGTTTTGGGGTGTCCTGGGGTAGTTGCCTTCATTGCTCTGTTAGTAATCCAGATATGACTGTGTGTAATATTTATCCATACTTGTGTCCTGTAGGCCAGTGGTTCCCAACTGGTCCACCCACAAGGTCCAGATTTCTCCTTACTCATTAGTTCAAGGTCCACACAGTTTAATATATTCAGCGTCATACTTGAGTTTGGTCATGTCATGAAGCTAGTTTGCCAGCTCTGACAAGTATCTGTCCATTAGTCATTCACTCTACAGCAGGAGACTGCATTTCAAAGTGAAAGATCTGTATGTTTTTACAAACTTGACACATTTGCGAGTCACTTGTGGTCCATTCAGAATGGACCCACAACCCACTTTTGGACTGCGACCCACAAGTTGGGAACCACTTGTGTATGTTTTGGGCAACACATTTGCTCCCCAGGTAAGCCCGAATCGTTTCTGTGAAATGATGCAACTGAGCCATTTTCAAATTTTAACAGCAGTTTATTAAAGGGAACTGTGCACAGAAATTTAACAGGGTGCCAATATGGTATTCTTCAAGCTAAACTACAGAAAGTGCTGAAAATATAGGCCTACTTTACAGCTAATAATTTACAGAACTTCATCTCCACATCAAAAACTCCAAACCAGCGACAACTGTAAAATCACAGTGGTATGCTTATTTATTTCAACTGACAAGAGTAAAACCGTATGCTCCAGAAATAACACATTCATTTGTCTCTATAGTAGAGTCAAAACTAGGTTAAAATGACTGTTATCATTAATTAAAACAAAAGGAATTCATTATAAAAGGCATCTGTAAGTGCTATTATGAAAAGACAATTGTATGTAACTTAATTGTGTGATTACTAGAAATGAAACTAGGATGAAACATTTACATTAAAAAGCAATGTAAAAAGTACAACAGAATGTAAAATGTTGCCCACTCTTGTCATCTTACAATTATGCATATTTTTTTAGTAATGTGAAACACTGATTGAACAACTCTTCACCATTGCAGAAGTAAAATACCTTTGACAGAAGAAAACTGAGTATGTTTTGCTGCATAGCTATCACTGTATATTGCAGAATTAACAACCATGTTGCGCACAATACCGTCCTGGGAGAATCACACAGCTGTACATGTGAATACAAATTACTAAGTGAATCACAAGGCACTGTCAACCGACCAGTAACCATGGTTACAGCGCTCATCTTGCTGACAATGATATCTTCACTGAATGTCCTTGGCTCTGATGCCTTTAAAGCTGCTAGTGCAAAGATGAAAGCACTTCATAGTAGCATCTTGCAGGCTACTACATAAATCATTAAAAAAAGACATAAAATTACTGCAAAAATGAAACACAGGAAATACCTGTAACTCTGCGCACAGTTTTGCAAAGGGTGATGCAACAGAATACTGAGTCAATACATGTGGAGCAACATCTTAACAAGGTAAATGGCGCCGAACCCTCAGCAGGGACAGTGATACTGTCAACTGTTTGACGCAACATCGGCCCACAGATAGAATGATATACAGCATGTTAAAATGTGTTGAAGAGCTTTAAATTTAGCAACACACAACTACTACCTGTACACTATTTAGTATGAATTAAAAGAGAATCACCCAACTAAGTCATCGAAAGTGCCCACTAATAAAAAGAAATATTAAAAGTGAATACAGAGAAGTAAAAGTGGCGTAATAAGTTTGTGCATTTAACAAGCCTCACGGAACTGTACTTAAGACTTTAGATAAAATGTGATAAAAGAGCATCAGAAAAAATGTGTCATTGGAAAAGCTATAAGAATGATGCAATACAGCAAAGATAACACAGAGGGTAAAGCTAAAATGAGTGTCTATGCAAAATGTGCTGACAGCAAAGCTCATCCATGTCTGAGCCCAAAGCATTTGTGGATTGTGTGTATTTCTCTGTCATTCAAGTGTTCAACAGAAAGACAGACATCCTCTAATTAAAGGTCTAGTGTGCAGGATTTAGTGCCATCTAGTGGTGAGGCTGGAAAATTGCAACCAATTGAAACCTCTCCCATATGCTAAGCATGCAGGAGAACCACACTGTACGTAACACTGTTCAACATGTATCTGTAGCTTATTTTAGCTTTACACAGAAAATACACAGTTGCAGTAGTCAATTGACTCTGGACAGGTGATCATAGAATATCAAAATCTCTTAACCTATTTTACAGATCTACTGTAATTCACTGTTTCACGAGAATGACAGTGAGACTAGACGTGGACACCAAGGTCAGACAGCGCTGATCCTGTAAAAATATATTTACAAATAATTTGAGATATCTGAATGCCCTGAGGTGCAGATACTATTCTTACCAGACACTGAAACCCCATAAATGGACACATCTTTTCAAGAAAATAAACGCCAAGGTCTCTACTTGTGTTTGTTAAAGTCAGAAAGTGCCTTTTTTATCCCAGATCTGCTGAAGGTTAAGAGTAATGTGGATGATACTACAGAGAACAGGACATTTCTTCTGTATGTTGTGGATGGAATGTATGAAGTAAGTGAGCGCTGCCGCATTGAAGCAAAAGAAAACTTTAAAGCTGCATTAAGTGATTTTTTGTTTACATGTGGGGCAGAGACAAACACACAGAAACACAACCCTGATCTGCAATCAGATTATCAAACTGTTATGGCTCATTTGTCAGCAACTAATTGCCTACACAAACATCTAGCGGACACACAGGAGTCAAATTTCAGGCCACCTGACAAATTTAATGCAGCTTTGTTCACCTTCTCCTGAGAAAAACATTTGGAGCGTGACTTTCTTCACCAGCCAGGAGTTTACATCAGCGTTTTTTTTTGGTTTTATTTGATGCTTGTCTCAGCTTTTTTTTTCCTGTAAATGGCTGCCAACAGTTCCATACAAGAGGTTGAGGAGAGAGCCAAACCAAGGGGCGAACAGCAGCTAGAAATCTCAGTGAGCTTAAGTTTGATGCATTTGGAATTTCAACCAATAACTGGAGGAATTTAATACATTTATATCAAAAGTATCACTTAATGCAAGTTTAACTGATTTCACAACAAACCACCAGCATTTTACAACAACTGCAACCTTTCCCCGTCACAGTCATTTGGCACAATATATTGATACATTATTCGATATCTATCAGAACTCTAAAATAACCCAGGAGCCAGCAGGTATAGAAACAGACGCACTAGAGAATAAAAATCTCACTAAACAGCAGATATAAGTGCTGAGGTTAGGCTGACCTTTCACAGCCAGCTGGGTACCGTGTGAACTTCTGTAGGAAGCAGCAAGTGACGCAAAACTTGCTGTGGTCAGTAAAATACAACTAAATATAAGCTGTGCATCCTGTGAAGAGTATAAAAAACAATATACATAAATCTCTGTTGTCTTAGAGATAGGTGATGTTTGGTAGCGTTCACATTTAGGTGTGCTGAGGTGTGGTTCCCTTGCAGACTAATACCTGTGAACACCAAGAACAAGTAGTTAGGAAACACTGTCAAAGAAAAATGTCAGCATCAACTGCTGTCTTTATTACATATAGCTTTCAGCAGAGTTGTACCTGTAGTAGTTGGGTTTAAAAGGGCCGTTCTTATTCAGGCCCAGGTATTTTGCCTGCTCATCAGACAATTCCGTCAGGTGGGCATCAAACGTGGTCAGGTGCAGACTGGCAACATATTCATCTGAAACACACGGATATGGTTCAGTAAGAAAGAGATGCATACACACATGCAAGACGTGCATGTTATCACAAGATTTAAATGCAAGGCAGACTGAGAAATAAATTAATTCACTCCAGCACTTCGCAGCCGTGAGTGATGATACTTTTAAGCCACCAAGGATTAAATACTGCAGGTCAAGGTTAAGTATCTTTATATCCTCACCCATCTTCTTGGGAAGCAAGTAAACATCCTGCTTGTATCGTCCCTCTGGAGCGTTGTACAGCTCTATAAGGGCCAGGGCCTGAACACAAACATGGATTAATAATACTGTTGAAAATGGATGCACGGTGTGGACTGAATATAGAGCAATACATTTCACCATTAACTTATTGATTACAGATCAATAATAACAGATCTATGCAGGAGAAGCAGCATATTGTTGCAGTAGTGTACTGTATACTATGTAATGCCATTATGAGCTCCACTGGCAGGAATCCATTTTATCACACTTAACAACCCTACATACTCTACAGTCTGCAGCAGACAGCAGCATTAACCACTGTGTGTCTTTAACTGCTATACAGCTTATTATTGGCTGTCTGGTAGTATAATCATGTTACCTGAGTGGTGGCTGTGATGGACAAGACAAAGGTGGGGACAGTGGAGCAGCTGAGGTTAAGGAGACGACCCTGTGGAAGAAGATAACGTTATTAAGAACAAAGGATTTAACAAAGCAAACACATTTTAGTATCGCTGTTATGAAACCTTGAACATCAACATGCATCTGTGCTCTTCACAAGCAAGACATCGAGACTGGGCAGTCAGTGTAGTCATCCCATAATCAGCTGCTTGAGTGCAAATTATTTCATACATCAGCTGCCAAAGGGAGAACTGATCGCTGAATCACTGTGTTGTATAAATACTGGCTCTGAGTATATCATACGTTAAATGCTACAGTAAAATTATACAATTTGTCCTCCACAAGCGGGACAAACTAAGTTATTACGTGTGGTTGTGAGGTGTAGCGATGTAGCCAGTTACCTCGGCCAGAAGGATGACCCTCTTGCCATCAGGCCAAATGACGTGATCCACCTGAGAGCGCACTCTCTCCCAGGTCAGCTCAGGGGTCCGAAGACTTGCCTGCAAGAGATGAGAAGATC